TATTCCATCTGTATCATGAAGTGCCCGCTGAAGCCAGAAATGGGTGTCAGATCCCCTGTAAAGGGAGTTATAGATGGTTGTTAGCTGCCATGTGGGTGCTGGGTTTTCTGTAAGAGCAACCAGTGCTCTTAGCCGCTGAGCCATCTCTCCAGCCCAGGAAATAACTTTAAAAGCAGGTATATGAATTCAAGCCTGAATTATCATGGACCTAATCATCTCCTACAGCTTAGAAGGCAAAATTAATTCGTCTTACTATAATAGAGTAATACTTTATAATTAGTGAATGTTCATATTGATAGTAATGAATTATATTGCTAATTCTGAGTAGTAGGGAAAGTGATCTTTCAAAGATTGAAAGATTAAAGATTTTTTGCTTCTGTGTGATAAAATTGCATTTGCCTAAAAGAGTTGGATAACCTATTTTTGTGATGTTTTTAGTTAGCTAAAATTGTACAACGAGTAAAGTGTGATTACAGCCTGACACTTCAAAGCTTAGAACATACTTGAAATATAAACTCAGGTATAATTTACATTTCTTAAATACTCTGGGTAATTTGTTTAATAATGTTCTTAAGAACTTCATGTTCTGTGACAAGTAAAATGATTTTTAGTATCTTCAGGATTTTCTGATTTGTAAAATTTAAAAAGTATATATATAATGCATTCTTTTAAAGTAGTTGTTCTATACAACTTAGTAACTTGTGTGACTATGAAAACCTATCATTCTTTTTCTTTCCCTGAGCTTATAAGGTCTTACTGTGTAGCCTGGCTGGCTTGAACTCACTATGCAGACCAGACTGGCCTCAAATTCTGAAGTCCACCTGTCTCTGCCTCCTAAATTCTGGGATTAAAGGCATGAACTACCACCATGCCCAGTGAAAACATTCTTTTTATGTGTATGAGTGTATTGCCTGCATGTGTGTAAGTGCACCTGTGTCATGCAGTGCCCACAGAGGTCAGAAGAGGGCATCAGATCTCCCTAGAACTGGAGTTACAGATGGTTGCTAGCCACCATGTGGGTGCTCTTAACTTCTAAGCCATGTCTTCAGTCCCCATACACGTAATTTAAATAAAAATCTAAAAATTGTTTTGAACCACTCACTGAGAATTTCTTACACAGTAGTGAATTCTACAGGTCTGGAAGATTAAATGATACTCTGCCTCCACATTCGGAATGACCATTTTCTTGAAATCATGTCGATCTGGTAACAGATTTATCAGCCAGCTTTTAATTCCCTATTATGATGTTCATCTCACTTTAAATGCTCAAAGTATTTGATTTTTAAAAATATATGACTTTAAATTGATATTGTAATGTTTTGTTTAAAAGATTAATAACATTAATACAGTTCTGTCACCAAAGGGCTCTAATTGCTAAATGAGTTATATCAGGTTTTGGTTTTTATAAGTATTTCGTGGAATTTGGAGGATCAATTAGTCATGAGCTTTTTATTTACAAATATAATAAAAGATTGTTGGGTAAACCAAAGGAATATAGAAATAGATTGTATTGAGAAAAGGGTTTTTTTTTCCTTCAAGACATTTGTTATTCAGTATAGCAAAACTATTAAAAGTTCTTTATACTAGAGAATATTTGCCTATGATTCTTTGTGTCATTTCTTATAGAAAACCAAAGTTTTCCTGCTTAAAAAAATATAATAATAACGCCTTTAATCCCAGCACTTGGGAGACAGAGGCTGGCAGATCTCTGTGAGTTCAAGGCCAGCCTGGTCTACATAGTGAGTTCCAGGACAGCTGGGGCTACAGGGACACCCTGTCTCAAAAAGACACCCCCCCCCAAAAATATATAAAATAATTATAGCTGAGTGTGGTGGCACATGCCTTTAATCCCAGCATCTGGGAGGCAAAGAGGCAGGTGGAGCTCTGTGAGATAAAGGCCACCCTGGTCTACATAGTGAGTTCAAGGCCAGCTAGGGCCATAGGGATATAAACAAACAAAGCTCAACAAAAAAATACTATGGTTTTGAGAATTAGGAATTAAGCATTCTGAAAAATTTTTAAGTTTTTTTCCAGTTCTTTTCCTCTCCCCTGTAGTTTGATTGGTGTTAGGACTTTTCCTATTGGACTCCTTTTTTTCTTTTTTTTTTTTTCTATTTTGAATTATCAGTAAGTTATCAGACCAGTTACAGTTGCCTGAAAGCCAGTCTCTTGAAATCATGAACAAATTTATTTCATTAATTTACTAACAAATACCTAAATTGCTTCCAAATGGAAACAGTTATTTTACACAAATTTCAAGTGTGCCTATGATGATAGGTCATAGAATAGATAGAAATATGGAGCTTTTCTTAAGTCAGGAAACACTGCTCTTTGGTGGGTTTGTGATTTGTTTGAAGCTAGCATCTTGGAAGCTTATATCACAAAGTGTTCTGAGGCCTTCTTAGCAACAGACTTCTCACAGGGACAGTCTGGCCACAGGTTCTCTTAAGGTTTTCTTAGGCCTTACAGAAATCCTCACCACGGTCATTAGGAAGTGCCTAGTCCGTTTGCTCAGAAGGCCTTTCTAGCTTGGTTAAGCATTCATTCCACTTGAGTCTGATGGGAATGAAATATCCAGGTTTAGAAGAAGTAACATCTGTGTGTTAACCATTTGAACCCTCAAATTTAAAAATAGCAATTCTGTTCTAACTAGAGAATTTTCATTGACATGTCAAGTACTTTTTATATTTTATATGGCTTTGTTCTTTTATAAAGTAAATTTTTGTCTTTTGGGATTTATTAGATTACTAAAACCTAGGTTCTTAGCTGTACACCTATTTTTCACTCAACAGATTTTAATGTGCCCAGAACATGAGACAGAGAGAATCAACATGTACTGTGAACTGTGCAGGAGGCCAGTTTGCCACCTCTGTAAGTTGGGTGGGAATCATTCCAATCACCGGGTAACCACCATGAGCAGTGCCTACAAAACCTTAAAGGTATGACTTGTTATTTTGTAAGTAGATTTTGATACCTTATAACTTCATGACTTTTAAGTTTGTATTTATAAAATTATGGTTTGTAATGTGGTCTTTTTCACTGAAAGGAGTTAACTGTACAAAGTATCATTTAATATTCTCTAACACAAGATTGTTCGTGTTTCTGAGTATATGTTAAAGGCTGCAGGGCTTTAACATAGTTAAATAGAATTCATAGATTTGAATTCTGAGTGAGAGAAGAGTGAAGGCCATTTTATTATTACACTTCAGTGAGCTCAGTGCTCCTCACTGATACTCCATGTGTAGAGGAAGAATGCAGTGTAGCTATTTTAAGACACTTGATTTTTAGCTAGGCATGGTCATGCACGCCTTTGGTCCCAGCACTCAGGAGGCAGAGGTAGGCGGATCTCTGTGAGTTCAAGGCAGGCCTGGTCTACGTAGTAAGTTCCAGACCACCCTGGACCCTGTCTTAAGAAGACAAAAAAAAAAAACCACCCTTGATTTTTGTTTCTTACCTATAGAATTAGTAGAAACTTCTTTATTTTAAGAAGGATCCATATAGAAGGCTCTTGAAATTTTCAAATTTGATAATAAGTAGCAAAGTAGGCAGTGCTTATTTTTATTGTTTAATTCTTTTTTCCTTTATTCAGTATTTTAAAAAGGAATTGATTTATCTTTAAAGCTACATATCATTTAGTTGTTCCCTTCTCTCTCTCCTAGTATGCATGCATGATTCAGAGGTAGCTGCATTCCTGGAGCTCCCTACCTGGGTTGTAGGTTGGTCAGTGGCTTAAGAGTTAATTGTTTATGTAACTTGGGGAGGGGCTTTGTAAATCTTGTCTTAGGAACTTCCTGAGACTTGAGAGGTTGGTTTACTTCCTGAGTCTAAAAGAGCCCCTTTGTGATGGAATGCTTAAATTTGCAGGAAATTGCCTTCAGGAGGCTCAGATCCTCATCTCTATTTTAGAACTACAGAATTTTAGAATCCTTGAGAAGCTAGCCTTGAGTTTCTAGAGTACTAGTCCTTATTTAAATTTCTTCCCTTGTTAGGTGAACTTGCAGGAAATGTCTTCTACGTCTTTCTTCTATTGTCAGTGCTTAGTGTCACTGGTACTTACAGTTTTGGGAGACTTTATGAACAAATAGACTTACTGATAATTTAAACAGCTCTAGTATTTCAAAATAGATTGCCCAGGTCCTGGGCCCCCTGAGATGACTGGCACTATCTCAGATCAAGGGTAGAGTTGGTGAGAGACTCAGTGTTAAATTCACTGAGAGTGAGTGATGCACTTGGACCATATTTCTGAATTGTTACCTGTTCTCTCGTCCTTACTTCTGGGTCAGCTTATCCTAGCCTCCGTTTTGAGACAGGGTCTCCCTGTAGCCCCAGCTGACCTAAACACTATGCAGATCAGGCTGGCCTGATCTCTCAGAGACCTGCCTGCCTCTGCCTCTTGAGTGCTGGGATTCAAAGTGTTGCACCACCACATCCAGCCTCAGCTTCCCTACTTTTAATTTAAGATGTTTTAGAACAAAGCCTCACATCTATTTTAATGGCCAAATTCAGTTCTGTCACTGTTGTTAAGAAAGAGCGCCAGCACCTACTTGCTGCTTGCGCTTGTTCCATCATGGGCAGAATTGGTACTGACTTGCAGCATGGTGTTAAAGAAATACCTCTGTTAGGGTCCGTGACTCGGTGGGTCTCTTCCGGAGAACAAATGCACGAGTATGGAGATGCAAAAATCAAGCAGAGTTTTATTAAACCAGCTAGCTGGGGCCGACCGTCCTTCCAAGACACGCAGGTCTGGTTAGAGCGATCGACCC